AAGAAATCTATATGGAACAACCAGTAGGTTTCATCAAAAAAGGAAAGGAAAATAAAGTTTGTAAACTCAAAAGGTCTATTTATGGATTGAAACAATCATCCAGACAATGGTATTTGAGGTTTCACAAAGCAATAACCTCATATGACTTCCAAATGATAGAAGAAGACCACTACGTCTACATTAAGCTGTTTGAGGGTAATTATGTCATATTATCCTTATATGTAGATGATATACTATTAGCTGGAAATAGTCTAGATTCGGTGGTGGCTATTAAAGAATGGCTTTCCTCGAATTGTGAAATGAAAGATATGGGTGAAGCAAAATATATAGTTGGAGTTAAAATCCAAAGAAATCGCTCAAAATGAATCCTCTCTCTTTCATAAGAGAATTACATCAACAAGATTCTTGAGCAATTTAACATAAAAGACTATAATCCCATGAGTACCTCGATTGCTACCCGAGTGGCCTTGAGTCCTAACATGTGTCCCAAAACTGAGTCTGACAAAAAGAAGATGGAAAGAGCTCCATATCCCAGTCTGTTTGTAGTCTGTTGTGCGCAATGATGTGTACAAGACCAGACATCTGTTATGCAGTAGGACTGGTAAGCACATTCCAGTCTAAACCCGGTGAAAAGCATTGGAAAGCAGTAAAGAGGATCTTGAGATACTTAAAGGGCACTTCCAATTATGCATTGTGCTACGAAGGAGGTGATCTGTGCCTTGTTGGATACTCTGATGCTAATGTAGGCGGAGATGAGGAAGAACGAAGGTCAACTACAGGTTATACCTTCTTGCTCAATAATGGCGCCATATGTTGGAGTAGCAAGAAGCAAATGTGCATTGCCTTACATTCAATGGAAGTTAAGTTTGTGGCATGCACCGCAGCAGTGCAAGAGGCTTTATGGCTGAAGAGATTTATAGAACACCTTGGATTTGGAAACAAGAGTACCAATCCAGTGATGGTATACTGTGACAATACTACAGCCATAGCCTATACTAAAGATCCTAAGTATCATAGCAAAATCAAGCATATTGATATCAAGTATAATTTTGTTAGAGATTATATAGCAGAAAAGATTGTTACTGTACAATACATTTCAACCAAATGTATGGTAGCAGATCCTCTGACAAAGCCAATAGGCGAAAAAGTTTTTAAAGAACGTGTGCAAGCCCTTGGCATGCGTAAAGTGTAATATGTAAACCTCATTAATGAAATTATATTTTTTCTCTCATCATTTTATGCGTCTGTCCAAAAGTATACAATGTCTAGTATGTCGTACAGGTTAAAAAGGTTGGCTCTCTCACATGAGCAACTGCCTTTGACACTCAGGTGGAGTGAATAAAGATGAGACATTTGTGTTCACCAGTAAAGCAGCAAAAAATGCTGATATGGTAGGGAAGAAACACAAACTTTATGTCGCAGTGACTAAAGTGTAGCAAGTCTAGATGAGATCCATGTTGATAAAGTTGGATCGAAGTATGGAATCCCACTTCCATAATACCTGTAGCTAGATAACAAACTCTTTAACATCGACGTCATAGATATCAACAGAGTTGAAGAATTTGGGTTTAGATATTGAGTGTATCTGGACTTAAGTCTATACGGTGTTAATGATAAGTCCAAAACGACATACGCTCTTACAGTAAAGGAGTAACACCGTAGCATGTATTTCATACCACATGTGCTGGAAGAACCGCAAAACGGAAGCAAGTGAAAGATCCCTGCTTCATTGTTGTGTGAGTCCCAGGGAGGAATTATCATCCTATTGGTGTCCTTTGACTTTGACAATATCACAAAGATATATTTCAATGACTACTACTTTAGCATGTTTCCTATGGTCATTATAGATGTGATTTGAGGTATTATGTTAAGAAAGCGACTGATTCATATCAAAGTGATATTTGGGCGAAAGGAAGATTGATTGTGATATACACACCTATACTAGTGTTTGTGACATGTCCCTTATGACATTTCGTTATCGTAAGTGTGGACACTAGACATACGAGAAAGGTAATTTGAGTTAAATATTGACTCAAGAGGGATTAGATTTACCATGAAAAAGTATATATAGGTGAATCTAGGACATCTGAGGTATAATATTAAAATTCAAGCTACACGAAAGAGAGGTTGATCTGTACTGGTCCTTTAAAAGGGATTTCTAGTACAGGCACCTAAATGAAGACGTTATGCCCACGCGGTCACGGCAAAGCACCAAGTATGAAGTTGAAGGGAGAGAAAGAGACTAGACCCACAACATCTAATCGACCAAATGTGAGTGGGAGATGTAGGAAAATGGTCCAGTCCACCCTTAGTGGAGTGGACCCAAACCCATTAAGCTTGGGGTTCTAATGAAAATAACAAGAAATACGGGTCTTTGGTTGTGATTTTTCCCTCTTGTTTTTTTTTGAACTGCACAATGTGGGGGGAACAGTTATTGGAATCGTGGATAAGTGAAGGTAGTTAGAATATGAGAAAACCGACCACACGTATTTTTCCTTTTTCCCTCCTTCAGTTTAGAAAGATTATTCTTCTATCATTCTGCCTTTTCCTTCTTCTTTGAAGCATTTGTTGTGAAAATACAGTCTGACTTCAATACCGTGATCAGACTTCCACGCGTGGCTATCTGAATCTGAGATCATTCGACACTTCAGGTATGCCTGAATTCATCATGAGCTTCCTAATCCTCCTCCCACCTTTATTTTCATCGATCAATGGCTGTGTGGAGTGTTGATGATAAAAGAAATTTGGTTCTAGTGAGAGAAAGTGAGGGAACAGATGAAATAAGCACGAAGGAGTGTGGATTGAAACTTGTATGAATGAATGGTGCTGTTGCATGTGAAAAAACCCGATTGCATGTTGTTGGGTGCCTCTGTTTTGTGTTTAACTGAACAGGGATTGTGTGTTTCGAGCTATGTGTGTGTCAGGTCTTAAAGGAAAATGAAGGAAGAAGATGTGATTCACTTGAATATGAAGATGCAAGTTGTGTGATTCTGTATGGTGATGATCTTTGAAGTTGACCCTTGCCGTCCTGATTGGTGAGGGCGTCGGCTTCATTGGTTTTAGGAATGGGTAGTGAGCAATTACATATATATCTTGGTTAATGCTGGCTCCTCTACCCAGTGTTAATTATGATTGTTGAATTTGTTGCTAAGTTGGGAAGGTTAGCCGTGGGGTTTGGTGGAAAAAAAAGGTAAGCGTGTGTGAGTGAGTGGCTGGTTTGTGTGGATGCAATGTGTGTGTGTGTGTGTTTTATTTGGGGGGGGGGTGTGTGATAACAGTGATATCCTAAAGTTGCTGGAAGCGAAGAGTTAATGATATCAAAACATAAACTGTTTAATAGGAGTGTGTTGGTATGTGTGATATGAGGTTTTCTTGCCCTTTGTGTTGGTTAACCGTGGGGGAGTGTATTTGATTGGTATGGAAGTGAAAAGTAGTGTGTGTGTGTGTGAATAAAACTGGAAGTTTGGTGTGTGTAGTGTCGCGGGTTTAAATGAACACACACACACACACAATATTTGAATGGCATGAGGCATATGGGAAAGAGAAGAAGAGAAATTCAAATAGGATTATAGGCTTGAATGATCTTGGTGTATGATGATGGTATTAAACTAATGAAGCTGAAAGTAAGGCTAAGGATTCTAGAATTAATTGATCTAATTTTAATAGGAGTTGAATGAGGATTTTGAAAATGTTTGAGTGAAATTATATGTTGATTTCTTGTGTGTGTTGACCGTGGAAGCTAGGGGTATGATTTAGATGTAAAAGGGAGTTTTAAAATGAAGTTGTAGTTAGTAAACATTTCGTGAAAGGTTTGAATTGATGTGTTGAAGTTGGAAAGTAAATTAAGTGCTGTAATTAAGTGAAAATAGAAACACATAAGAGCTTTAGAATTTATTAAGAAAGGTTGTTTGAGGAATGTTAAAATGAAGTTTAAGGGATTAGATTAGTTGGTGTTTGAAGTTAGAAACGAATAAATTCTATTAAAAGTGTTGTTCATGAATTTAAGAAATGGAGATATAAAAGGAATAAAAAATAAGTTGTTACAAAATAAATACAATAGGGAGCTTTAGAGATTGAATGATGGAGGTTACGATTAAATTTCATGGCTGTTTCGTAGTCAAAGAAGATAAGCTAGATAATTGCTTAAGAAAGTTAAGATAAGTAAGAATGTTGTCGAATTCGTATGGGAATATATATATATATATATATAGGTGCATAGAGATTTTCCTAAATAAAAGATGTTAAGTGTTTAAGATTTTACATATATACACAAATACATGTGTTGGGGGTGTGTATCTCGGCCAAATTGGAAAAGGGATAGAGTTGAGTTTCAATTGATTTGTTTTCAATAAGACTAAATGTGTAGGTATAGATGAACTCATTATTTGTCCCCAAATACAATAGATAAAAATAATGTTTTTTGACCAAAGATGACTAGTTATAAAGTAAAATAAGTCAGGTTTGAGTTGGAAGGAAGCTTATCAGACAGTAGTTCTTTCCTATTTGTACCATATTGTTATTTCTAAACATGAGAACATGTAATCCTTCTTTTCTTACATGGATTATTTTAACCATAGCTATGTGTAGTTGATAAACATAGAGCAGTCTGCCAAATTATCTACACACTAAAATATATTAGCTTGTCTATCTATCAATTGCTCATAAACACTTCACTGCATGGCTTGTAAAATTGTGTTTCACTTTAGCTTGTATTGCATGCAATCCGTAATCTACATAATTGTTTGATGGAAATTATTACTACGGAAATTTTTCAGAATCTCACTTTTCCTTTCCTGTTGTGCTGTAAGAGCAAATAGTTCTAAGAAGGAGTTGTGCACAGTTAAATAGGTGAATCACTAGTTGCCCTTTCTAAAAGTTATGAATCTCATTAGTAAATTCCAATGTTTTTCTCAGATCTGAATCATGTAGTGGAATTTGATTTTAAGAGTTTGTTTTTTGGAAAAAAAAAATTCTCAAGATTTCGTAAGTCAGAAACCTGGTTTTTAGTGGTTCACATTTAATTTTATTGACCTTTTTAGTATATAGGAGTTAGGCGTTACACATAACAACTGCGTAATATACATGTCAAAAAAGCATTATGCAGACAAATTGGCAATACATGTAAAGCCAGTTGTGGAGGATACTACCAGTAATAGAAAACACAGCTAATCCTGCAAATAGTTCAAGTCAATTTGCGGGTAACAGACTCATCACATTATGGCATCATGCAGATAAAGCAAAGCTCTGCTGCGTCCAGTTGGGAGGATCCATCACAGCACAGGGATCTGTTTTCTCGAAATCTGCAACCTACATTGACATGAACATAATTAGGCATTAAAATCTGTGATGTTTATGCCCGATGCAGTAAACCAGGACCGATACCTTTCGCTGGCATTGAGGACAGTAGTGATATTTATGCCAAAGGCAGTCCATTGAAGGGCAAAGAAAGCAAACTCCAAGCATAAATGGCATCATGCAACCAACTACTGCTGCCAGACTTGGTTTTGACCTGTCATACACCAAAAAAAATCAAATTTTAGATGAAGAAAATGAAAAGACTTTTGAGTTTGAAAAGAGGTAAATGAAAGAGAACAGTTAAGTCATCAATAGTTTGCCATCAAAATGGTTTAGCTATTGCCCATTGTTCAGCACAATAAACACCTACTCCACCCTCCAGAAGAAAAAAGGTTATGCCCAGTCTAGATGAAAACCAAGCCGTTTATTGATTTATATCAAACAGATTTTCAGAAAGTGACTCCCATTTATCATCCAAATCAGCTGCAACTCGAGAGCATCCACTGGCAGGGTGTGATTCGAAGTAATGGCAAACTCAGACTCAACCAAGACTTCGTGTCAAGACTCTATACTAAATGTAACTAGCAACCTGGAATCTTAAACAGAAGGTTGATCAGTTTTGGGCGACACATATTCTCCTCAAGTCTTACCCTACTTAAAGATGAAGTCCTCAACTACATCTTCTGTGCATGCTTTTTATTTATGCATATGCCTTGAAAAACCTTGTTTCTTTTTCAATCATTCGTTGACAACGAGCAGAAGACAGATTGACAAACAAAATGAACTCCCATTAAAAGAGGGGAAACAAATGCTATCATCCTAAATGCAGCGAGTTCTACAAGAGTCACGGCCCACCTATATAATAGAATCCATAAAACTTCTGAAAAGACTGCATCCTACACTTCTTTGATGTGCCGTCTCTATACTTTTGAAAGTACATGGAACAATATGACCACCCCCTGCTCTATATTCAATGTTACAAAGCTGTCTCTTTAGTTGTAAGACAGAAAATTAACAAAACTTAGGAGAGATGAAACCAAGAAATAAAGGAAAATTAAGGAAACATCTGTTACTAGGAATATCTGTCTATAAACTGGACATGACCGCCAACTATGCATTTGTGATTAAAAATCACAATCGAGACAACTGGAAATGGATATGTAAGCGAAAGTCTGAGGGCTAAAATCATGCAATCAGCCAATCAAAAGCATCAAGTTTTGCATGGCTTTGAACTAATTTGACTATTTCACGGAAGAAAACTGATTCTGTGAATTCAGCTCCCAAAACATTATTTCTTGGGCGGCGGCCACAAATATCAGGTTCGATTAATCAGAAATAGAAGTATTTGACAAAAAACAGCAAAAAAGAAGAAACCTAAACAAAGGATTGATGAAGAAAAGATGAGGGGCGAAATTATTGAAATACCTGACAGTAGTGAGGCCAGTGTTAGAACAGTGAACGCAGTTGAAAGGAGCAGGAGTGTCGCGGTACATGGTTTGGTGGATGGGTACGCCCTTGGGGTCGCCGACGAAAGCATTGGGAGGGATGACGCCAGCTTGATGAGGGTTTCCGGCGGAATAGGCATAATACGGAACTCCCACCACCACTTCTTCTTCTCCCTTTTTCGCCATTCGATCCTTGCTTTTTCCCTGTTCGTGATTCCAATCAGAATTGCGGGTACTGGTTTGATCAGTCTCCCTTTCGTGGCTGAGCTGATTTCACCACCGCAAACAAGCGCGTCTTTGACCCTTTTGGCATCGGGTCGCACATGCCTCAATTCAACGACCCTTCCAAGAAACGTTTGTTTGGGGCAAGGGCTTTTTTAACAAAACTTTTCACGCGCATAAAAATTAAAAAGCGAATTACAATGAAGTCTAATAAGAAAAAAATAATTATCAAAAAATTTTAATAATAATCTCAATAACCTATAATAACAAGTTCTATAATAAGAATGACAACTTATGGGACTTATTTTTTTAATTGATTTACTTGTTTGGGATCTACTGTAATTCTCACACAATTAAAGGCCCGTTTGAAGGAAAGAATGGATGATTCGAAAGGAAAGGAAAGGAATGGAATGGAATAAAAGTTTGCACCTGAGGACTTGTTTGATAAATATTGGAGCAAAAAATAGGTTGATAAAAAATTTTATATTTGGTTGGATAAAAACGGGTTGGAAATTTACGCACTTTTACCATATTACCCTCGATAAAAGAATATAATATTATTAAATAAAAATTCTTTTTTACCTTATTGAATAATTATATTATTAAAAAATTCACTAATTCAAAACAAATAAATGAATAAAAATATGCTATATTTTAAATAAATAAACATGAGTATTCAATATAAATATTAAAATTATATAGATATTAAATGAATAAAAATAATTAAATAACAAAATAAAATAAAATAGAGATGTTTGAACATGGAATTAAAATACATCTACAAGTAAAAAGGGAATAAAATATGATTGGGCAATTTATAAATCCTAATAGACATGAATAAAGTCAATTAAAATGTGAATTTTTGGTGGAGATACGTTTCTTAATGTAAATTTAAATGGGCCAAATGATCTATTATTTGAAAAAATTTTAATTTTCTGTTATTTGAAATATTTTTAAGTTTAGTTTCTAATGTAATAGAACCATTTACAAACCTTTTGTATTTTCAAATTTATTTTTAAGACAGTGACCAAATGTCACAAATGTTTTCAGAAAATGGAGTAACTTTATATAATTAAAAACCTGATTAAGTCTACATTTATATCAAATAATCTTTACTTTAAAAGTATTTATAGTTTGTGAGATATTATAATAACTAAAATCAAAGATCAAAGTTAAAATATTTCTGACTTTTATTCACAATTTTGATCATAACTTTATAAATATAAAGAATTTTTGAGTGGGTTTTAATTTTATTAAATTTTATTTAAATAGCATTTCAATGATACGTTATTTGCCCAATTTAGGTTTAGATTTAGATTGATAAAGTTATGTATGATACAATTTAAGTTTTAATATGATAAGTAAAGGAACAAGCAAATTCAAATTTGGTTTTGCTCGTTTCCTTATTGCAACTTAAAGCTTAACTACGAGTGTATTATTCTAAATTGGAATTTGTATCAAGACATTCCAACTTATGCATGATATCATTCAATTTTCACACAAAATTTGAATTTCATTACGTCTTACTTGATCACTGTATTATAATCTGTTTTTGATCTACTAAACAGAGCAACTTTCAATTAGATATAGCTCTTTCAATTTAAATTCAAATTAGGTAAATGACTTATCATTGAAAAGCTCTATAAGTCTAGTTTTTAATACAACAAGATCCATTCAAAAACACTTTATAATTTTAAAGTTATGATTAAAATAGTAAGCAAGGGTTAAAAAAGTTTTGTGCACTAGATTTTGAACTAGATTTGAAAAATCATATCTATTTCATATGAAAACATTTTTGTTGAGGTAAATGTTAAAAAGGCTATTGAGTCTATTTTTATATATAACAAGTTTCACTTTAAAATTATTTACATATAGGCTATGAACACCTAGCAAGTTCTAAATTTGACGATTGAGCTAAAGGGCTTGTGGGTCAAGCTTGGGTGATGTTTTTGCACTTTTATTGATGTACTTCTAGGTGTATATGTTTGCCTCTTGAAGCAGTTGCAGAATGCTTTTTCAACTTGCCCATAGAAGAATTCTTTTTTTGTTTTTGATTAAAGAAATATTTTGTGTATCTACTGAGAATAACGGGCCAATCTTTAGAGTGTGTATTTTGCTTTTAATGAATTTGTGATTTTTTAGGCCTACCTAGAATGTAGATGAATACTTCTAGGACCTAGGTGTAATCCAATCACGTAAACGAAGTCGGATTTTGATATACAGCAAATGCAGAGAAAGAGAGGAGAGTGCATTGTGTTTTCTTGATCATTTAGTTAAGAGCAATCCACTTGGATTTATCCTCAACCATTTTGCAGGTTTTTCTCCACATAGAAAAACTGCTCCCTCCATAATAATTTTGCAAATAAACATCAAATGGGGTATTTTATTAATATCTATCCTGATCTTCCAGTAAATCACAACTGAATCCTGAGCCTCTTGGGCTTTGGCCTAATCCAGCAAGGGTGGATTTTTTTTTTTTAATTCTAACATCTCCTACTCATACTTGGTGGATTAACTATTATGGATTACCCTCTCTTTCTTATTTCATATTAGGTGCTTTTCTGTAGCTGCATAGGCAAGACGTCTTAATTTTAGGCATTCGTGCTAGAAATCTCTTTTACGAGATCAGCATAGACAACCTTCTTTGTGTAGTTTGTTCTCAAATATGCCTTAAATGTCCTAAATTTACTTATATACGCTTTCTTATAGCTAATCTAATCCCTTTCGAGCTAATATAAGACTCAAATTGAGTTCCTTGTTTGCATAGTGTTCATACTTATAAAACAAAAAATCATAAGGGACATGTCTTAGATACTAGCGTAAGTATGTATATTTCAAGAAATCTTTCTTTCACCAATATACCATTTCAATATACACCAACCGCCTTCCTAGCATAATCCCTTAGATCATATCTATCATGATTGTGGGTTGTATATTGAAGTAGCAGACACTGAAGTATATTTTCATGATAATGTCAAAGTCAAAGAACATCAATAAAAGTATTACACCTTCTAGGGACTCACACAGTAATGAAGTAGGGATCTTGTCATTTGCTTCCCATTTGCGGATTTGTTAAGCACATGCGGTATGAGTTGCATGCCATGATGTTACTCTTATGCCATAAGAATGTATATCAACTTGGAATTTATTTTTAGCACCGTACATACTTAAGTTTAGGTACTCTTAGCACCCAAACCTAAATTCTTCATTCTACTCATCACATATGATGTCAATTTGTGAAGAATTTAATGTTTGGTCACAAGCACCATGAATATGGGTGTCCATGATTCAATCTATGTACATGTTCTTATATTGGATCCCATCTTGACCAGCTACATCTACACTTTAGTTGAGGCAACTTTAGTTTGTGGTTCTTCTCTACCATATCAGCATTTATTATTGTTTTACCGGTGAACACAAGTCTCATCTTTGCATACTTTTCTTAAGTGTCAAAGGCAGTTGCTCTTTTGAGAGAGGCAACCTTATCAGCTTATATGATATACTAGACATTGTATACTATTATGCACACACAGAATGGTGATAAAATAATAATTGCTTTAAAACATTATCATGTTACATAAGTTTTGTGATTTTACATTCTTTGCATGCTAAGCATTTTCACTTGTTTCTCATATAATTCTTTTGATATTGGCTTGGTCAAAAGATCAACAACCATACATTTTGTTGATATGTATTACGCAGTGATAATCTTTTGTGCTATATAGTGTCTCACAAAATTGTCTTGCTATGATACTTAGGGTCTTTAGTGTAGATTATGGCTGCGGTATTGTCACATTGCACCAATATTGGATTTGTATTTTTATTTCCAAATTCAAGGTGTTCTATAAACTGCTTAAGCCATATTGCCTCTTGAATTGTTGCAATGCATGCCACGAACTCAACTTCCATTGGATGTAGGGCAATGCATGTCTGCTTCTTGCTACTCCAACATATGGTGCCATTGTTCAGTAAGAAAGTGTAACCAAAGTCGATCTTCTCTCATCACCATCTCCGCCTAAATCAGCATCAAAGTATCTAATTACACGTCGATCTCTTCCTTGATAACACAAAGCATAATTGATGTGCCCATCAAGTATCTTAGAATTCTCTTCACTGCTTTCTAATGTCCTTTACTAGGATTAGCTTGAAATCTACTTACTAATCCAACTGTAAAACAGATATTTGGTTATGCACACATCATCATATACATTAAGCTACCAACAATGCTAGTGTAAGGAACTCTTTGTATTTTCTTCTTGTCTAACTCTGTTTTGGGGCATATGTCAAGACTCAGTGTTACTCCTCTAACCATTGAAGTGTCTTTGGGATTGCAATCTTTCGTATTGAATGGCTTAAGAATTTTCTTGATATAATTCTTACCACATCCTATTAATTTTAACTCGAAAAATAAGGAATATAAAATAGACCATGGGTTAAGCAAGATAGCCAACAGATAAACAGAATAACTTTTGTATTGAAACTGGGACTGGATTATCATTTTTAAAATATCTAGTCAATATTGAATAGAATGGGAATTTAGACCCAAAATTCTAGAAAATTTTCAAAAAATCATGAGAAATAGAATAAAGGGTGCATAATAGCATTTGAGGCTTGAAAGACAAAAATAAGATAAAAATAATTTATTTTGAAATTTTCTGTATTTTCTTAGAATTTTGGCTAATTAAGAGAGAATTGGCCAAATTGAATTATTTAAAATAAATAGGGGCCTTAATAATTCATAAAAAAAATTAGACAAATTATTTGAAAGATTATTATGAATTTTAAAATTGTTTCCAACCTTTAAAGGCACATTTTTAAATTATTTAATGTTGAAAATTATATCGGTAAAGGGCTAATTTTGGGAAAAATTTAATTGAAGGAGCTATGGGGAAAATAAAATCTAAGAAAATTAGAGGAACCTCTTCTCATAAAAATAAGTTATTGGTGCAAGGAAATAAATTTTTACAAATGGTGAATTTAACAGGATCTAAGAAAAATTTAATCGATATCGTGAAATTATACAGTGTAATAGCCATAAGCTTAGTGGGGCCAAATTTTCCCCCATTCTTCTGACCTATATAGCACCGTTTGAGGAGGGTGAGG